AAAGTGACATAACACAGCATGATGTATCTATCCGATGGGTGTATTATTAGGGCCCAGCCTAGAATCAGAAAATATTGGGTCTGAATCCCACCTGAGCCAATAGTAAGCGTCTGTGACATTGGGCGAAATTATTTAGCTCTGTAAGAGTCAAGGGTTTTTTGTCTGCTTGTCTTTGATTTTTTTTTTGTTTTTAATTTTATTGTTATTGACATTGGGCTGAGATGAGAACCTAAATGGAAAATTGATGTAAAATGGCTAGCTCAGTGCCGACTTATCATAAGCCCTAGAAAGCTTTCATGAGAATATTATATAACACATGGAATCTCATACTATATGCAATCTATACCATATTACATATATTTAGTGGTATATTGCATATAACAATAATCTATAGTGTATGCTGTATCATATATACCATATAATGTATATGTAAATATGTATAAGATCACAAAGTTTATATCAATAGCTATTATTTTATTAACATAAACAGTCATTAACCCCTCCAGACAAATCAGAAATCATGGTGTTCAAGCTCAAGTTGGACTGCAAAAGAATTTTTTTTTTTTTTTTTTTTTTTTGAGACGGAGTCTCGCTCTGGCTCCCAGGCTGGAATGCAGTGGTGAGATCCCGGCTCACTGCAAGCTCCGCCTACCGGGTTCACGCCATTCTCCAGCCTCAGCCTCCCGAATAGCTGGGACCACAGGCACCTGCCACCACACCCGGCTAATTTTTTGTATTTTTACAAAAATTTAACATGGGGTTTCACCGTGTTAGCCAGGATGGTCTCGATCTCCTGACCTCGTGATCCGCCCGCCTTGGCCTCCCAAAGTGCTGGGATTACAGGTGTGAGCCAAGGCGCCCATCCGCAAAAGATTTTTAAGAAACAAACTAGAGGCTTACAAAAGAATTTACCAGGTAAGGATTTGCCAACACTGGGGGCAAAAATGACCGAGACACGTGACTGAAAAGCAGGGCGAGGAAACAGAATGTCCCTCCGCTCCTCCCTGACTGGTGGTAGTTTTGTATTGGATCAGGTTGAAAGGATTCCAGCCACTTTAAAATAATCAACAAAAGTCTCCAGCTTCTCTTCCTGAATTAGCAAAGCGAGTTCTACTCTTGCTGGCCGCGATGACTCTAGAAATTGTGTATGTTTGTCACTGGAGCTGCCTAGGACGCACCTTGGGGGAGGGGGGCAGTATTGGGGACGGTGGTTTCGAGCTCTGTGTGCCCCTCCTTTGCACAAGGTAGTCGGTGTACAAGAACAGAGACGGGCGGTGGACATACGGGAGGTGGCCCAGCCTGAATTCAAGCAACATGGGTGCAAGCCAAGCTCTCAAGCTTCATTTCCTAACTTCCTAAAGAAATAACAACAGCAACTAATTTTTATTGACTGTTGACTACGGACAAGGCTTCGTTGTTGCCGCTTTACGTGCATTAATTCATTTAATCTGCAAAACCACCAAACATGAAGCAGCAGGAAGGAAATTCTACAAACTCCCCTTCTTGCTCAAGTTAAGAAAGTCTCTTCTTTTGGTGCATTTCAGTAAGACTCAAATCCTCCCCACCCTGGGAGGCGCAGAAAGCCAAACTTCCTCCAAAATAAAGGGAAAAAAAACAAAAACACTTCAGTCCAGGCTGGGGGGATCTGGCTCCCCGGGCCCCTGGCAGACGCCAGCAGCTTTTCTGGGTCCGCACTCGTGGACCTCACCCGCCTGGCATCGCGATTGTGCAAGCGCAGGGCGGCAACCACGGCCGCCGCTGCCGGCTCCTGCCAGCCAGGGGAGGGCAGGGAGGCGCGTTCGGCGCACACCCGGTGAACTCCGGGCTTCGCGTGCCTTCCCGGGGGTTATCTCCGGGGTGGAGTCTGCCGCCCCCACCCCACCTCCCGCGCCTGGCGAACAGAGCCCCGGTCACCTGAGGCCCGGATGCCCTCGCTCACCTCGCTGACTCCATCCTCCTTCCACCCCCATCCTCTGGGTCCTGCGTCCCTCGGAGCCTGGCCAGCCGGGGGCCACTCCGCCCTCCTCTGCGTGCTCATTGGCCACCCAGGGCATGCCCGGTCTCCATAAATGCATGGTCCCCGGACATAGGAACATGGAGAGGGACAGGAGGAAACGCGGCACCAGCAGCATCTCATCTACTCTCCTTGACACCTCCTCCCCGTGGCTACAGCCAGACCCTAGAGGTCAGCCTTGCAGACCAACAGGAGGACTCCCAGCGTTCCCTTTTCAAGAGGTCCCCAGACCCCGGCTGCCCTCTTCCAGCGCCTGTGGCTAGCGCAAGGAGGAACCAGTGCTCTGAGGCTGTCGCGTGGTGCAGCGTCGAGCATCCTTGCCGAGGTCCTTTCTGCTGCCTGTCCCGCCTCACCCCGCTCCATCACACCAGCTGGCCCTCTTTGCCTCCCTTTCCCGGAATCTTTAAGCTCCGAATCCCACCAGCGCTTCCTACCAACCTCACCCCACCCCGTCCCTGTGCCTTCCCGCGCTCCGGTGTCCCCCGCTGCCATGAGCTCCCCCATCAGCAAGAGCCGCTCGCTTGCCGCCTTCCTGCAGCAGCTGCGCAGTCCGAGGCAGCCCCCGAGACCGGTGACATCTACGGCGTACTCGTCCCCTCGGCCGCGAGAGGTGCCAGTCTGCCCGCTGACAGCTGGTGGCGAGACTCAGAACGCGGCCGCCCTGCCGGGCCCCACCAGCTGGCCACTGCTGGGTAGCCTGCTGCAGATTCTCTGGAAAGGGGGGCTCAAGAAACAGCACGACACCCTGGTAAATACCTTTTCGCGCCCCTGACTCCCTTTCTCCTCCCTGTTCCGCCCTCCCAGTGGCGCTCCAAACCCTCCCCGACGTGCGCGGCGCACGGTGCGCTTCGGCGTCTGGGCAGTGAGGGACCCGGTTTCCCGAGGAGGAAGGAGGCGGGAGGAGGGAAAGCGCTTCGGCCACGGCGGAGGATGCGCGCTGACACCGCGCTGTGCCCGGCCCGCTGCAGGTGGAGTACCACAAGAAGTACGGCAAGATTTTCCGCATGAAGTTGGGTTCCTTTGAGTCGGTGCACCTGGGCTCGCCATGCCTGCTGGAAGCGCTGTACCGCACCGAGAGCGCGTACCCGCAGCGGCTGGAGATCAAACCGTGGAAGGCCTATCGCGATTACCGCAAAGAAGGCTACGGGCTACTGATCCTGTGAGTCCAATCCGAGGGACCTGGGCATGCGGCCAGGCCTGATGAGCCTGGCGGCGCCTGGAAATTGTGAAGAGGTGGAGTTAGAGTTCCCTGGGGTTGGATGCTTCTTATGTAGGGCGGATACCAAAGCCCCTCTCCGGTGCCATTGCAACCCTGAGCTCTTGTATAGATTAGAGTCGGTCCACGGAAAAGCTGTGCTGTGCACCGGGCACCTGCGTTCTCTCTGGCAACAGAGCAGGGCCACACCCTCCCATCAAAGAAAGGCCAAAACAGAGTTGTACAAACTGTGGTGTTCAGACTCTTGGGCAGGATGAGGTTCTGAAGTCAGCGTACCAGGCAAACATCTTATACAAACAAAATTGTCCTTTAAAATTCCCTGAAACACCTTGTAAGCTCAAGAGCCAGGAGTTAACCTCTTTTGCTTTTGACAGTGGCCTTTTCTGCAGAGGATTGCGGGGCATGCCTTATTTCTACTTGTAAAGGTGGAATAAGGAGGGATATCAAAGTTGTGTTTTAGGTCGATAAATGCTACAATGGGATGTGATTCTTCTGCTTTTTAGTTGTTAGCATTTAACAAGTTAGCACCTTTACCCCCAAATTGTAATGCCTAATAGTTATATTTTCCAGGATATAATGAGGAATTGAAAACCCTGTTAATGCACGGTGCATCACAGGCTGTGTGGTCTGCTGTGGGGCAGGTGCATACAAGTACACGTTCACAAAAGGCTTATTACTCCAGTGAATCTCTGGCTGTATGTTATCATTTGGAGGCAATAGTAAAATTCTAAATATGAGATATTTTGTAAATACGAAGCCCACACCAATTAGTCGAAAGAAGACAGGATTCTTTCCTCAAACAGGTCTGAGTTGCTGGTGATGGGGTGTTCACATGCCCCCTTTTACGGCTAGGAATTGGCCCCAGGCCTTCCAGCCCCACTCCCTACAAGGACACCTCAAAACCCCTGAACCCAAATTATCTGGACTTCAACTTTCTGGTGCAGTCTTTGACTAGGTGCTTTTGCATCCTATTGTCAAACTATACGATCACTATTTTATCCCACATATTCTAATGCTAATATTCTCTGGATATTTCTCGGCATGATTCTCAGTGTTTATTTGACTTTATGGTTCCTGAAGTTGCAGCTGGGGGTATTTCTGCATCTCCCTTCTTTTCTTTTCAATGTGCTCTAAATGTATTCCTGCTTCTCTCACAGGGAAGGGGAAGACTGGCAGCGGGTCCGGAGTGCCTTTCAAAAGAAACTAATGAAACCAGTGGAAGTGATGAAGCTGGACAACAAAATCAATGAGGTTTGTAGGCTGGGGCCAGCTTTCCTGGGGCTCTTGGGGACATAGGGATATTGGTGGAGCTTCAAGTGACCGCTACAAAATACAAAGGAAAAAAGCATGCAATTCGGGTGATTCAAAGGGGGATCTTCTCTTTCTCTCCATTCCTTCCTACAACCTCCCCCCCACCAAACCCTTATTTCTCCCTCCTTCGCCCTCTTTTAAAGTCATATCACAATGAGGGAGCAATGGGGAGCATGGACTTTGGTATTCTACAGCCTTGGATTTGAGCCCCAGCCCTTCCACTCCCTGACTATGAGACCTGGCTATACCACTTACCTTCCCTAAGCCTCAGTTTCCCCATCTACAAAACGGGAGTAACAGTTCCTGCCGCATGGGTTTGCTGTGAGAGTTAAATGAGATACCCTTGTAAAGTTCTTAAGTAGTGATATTTGAGCTAGGTTTTGCAGGAGTCTGAAGGCAGAGAAGGTGGGGAAAGGCAGAGACAATAGCCTTCTGAAAACAGGGAGGCATGAAATGACATGGTGTGTTCAGAGACTCAGTCATTTAGTGTAGCTGACGTGAGGCTTTCTCTGAAATGATACTGGACAGGTCTTAACAGTATTTTTGTGTCATACTAAAGTATCTGGACATCGCCCCTTTGCCAGCACAGAGTCAAAGGGGGTTTTAAGCATATAGTAATCTCTTTCTACTTCTGTTCACTTTGGATGTTTATTTTGAACTGGATGTGTCCCCAGATGAGATCACATAGGTGAAGGATTGCAAACTCAGAACCTTCCAGGGGCCACGGGACTAATATAAAATAATAAGGCAGACCCAGTAAAAATTTCAGGAAACGTGATAGTGCACGCCCCTCCTAGGAGGGACAGCAGCCCCAGTTCCAGCAAATGATTGCCATGTCGGAACGCAGACCTCGTGTCTCCAAGTCTCGTAATTATTATTTACATTGTTAAACTAGTAGTGGTAAATCCACATGTTCATACGAAACCTCTTGATTTTTTAATGGTAACAAATTCAAAGAACTTTTAAATGCACTACGTGGGCAAATTAAACATGCAACGTAAGTCCACACATGTGGACTCTATGGTCACACCAGTGCATGGCAGGCTCCAGGATGGCAACTTATCAGCTCTGTGTGCATAAGTGAGTGACTTGGCCTCTTTAAGCCTCAGCTTTTTCATCTGTTACATGGGAAATGAGTAATGACAGTACCTACTACCTCATGGGGTTGTGGGAGGATCAGCCAATACACTTTGTACAGTGTTTGGTACCATGTTGACCTCATTAAATGTGAGACATTCGTTATTGAAAACTCTGGTTTATGAAACTGGCATCCAAAGGCCTTATGTGACTGTCCCAAGGTCATAGACTACTTCCGGAAAGAGCTGCGTCCAGAATTGGTGGATCTTCTGGTTCCAAGTTCAACATTAACACAACCACTAACCGATAAAGAGACGTTTCCTTGCCCAGATGTGGAAAGGCACACCTCAGGATAGCTGCCTCATCACAGTCCTTGAGATGCTGGGCCAACAGGGACGCTTGGCTGATTCCTTTGTGGTTTATTCCCCCATTCTGATTAGAAAAACAACAACAACAAAAAAATGTTTTCCTCTTCATAAATTGCCAGAATTATTTTTAGATCAAAAGCTGAAACTTAAGCTTCAGGGTGGCTTCAAGAAATAACCCAGGACGAGGTCGCTAGGGGATGAGGTGGATTCCCAGGGAGAATATATAATTAGTGTGACTTCAGGATGAATAACATTATGGCCAGTGAATATTCGATGTAGCAAGACCTGAAGTTAGCTCAGTGAGCTTTAAACTTCTGTTTTCCTTCAACGGCTTTAAAATGTGTCTTTTGCGGTTGTTTTCTTTGAAGGTCTTGGCTGATTTTATGGGCAGAATAGATGAGCTCTGTGATGAAAGAGGCCACATTGAAGACTTGTACAGCGAACTGAACAAATGGTCGTTTGAAAGTAAGTTGTCGTCATAGTCTTGCTCATTGATTTTGCAGGTGATTTTGCGGATAAAACACTCTTTCGACAACCCTTGTAAACATGCATTATTGCTGCCTAGGGAAAGGCCAGAGCAGCCCTTTTAATGCTTCTTTTAGGTGCTTAAGTTATGTCTTGAACTATGGATTGTTTATGGAGTCATACAACGAACATGTGTTGAACACTTGCTGTGTGTCTGGCACTGTGCTAGGTACTAGGGATATGACAATGAACAAAACACATAACCTTCCTGCCCTTGGGGAGCTTCTATGCTAGACAAGGTGATAGTCAACAAGTAAACACATTTTCAAATACACTCTTCCAGGGAGTAAAAGAAAACAGAAAGGGAGTTAAGAAAGAGCATGGAAGGTCGGCACGGTGGCTCATGCCTGGAATCCCAGGACTCTGGGAGGCTGAGGTGGGCAGATCACTTGAGGCCAGCCCAGGATTCTGAGACCAGCTTGGGCAACACAGCAAAAGCTTGTCTCTACAAAAAATACAAAAATTAGTCGGGGTTGGCGGCACATGCCTGCAGTCCCAGCTACTCAGGAGGCTGAGGTGGGAGGATTGCTTGACCCCGGGAGGTTGAAGCTTAAGTGAGCCGTGATTGCACCACTGCATTACGGTCTGGGTGATGGTGTGAGACCCCGTCTCCAGAGAGAGAGAGAGATAGAGAGAGAGACAGACAGAGAAAGAAGGGAGGGAGGGAAGAAGGAAGGAAGGAAGGAAGGAAGGAAGGAAGGAAGGAAGGAAGGAAGGAAGGAAGGAAGGAAACAGAGAAAGAGGAAAGAAAAAAGAAAAGAAAGAAAGAAGAAAGAAAGAAAGAACATGAAAGAATGAAAGAGGGGCAAGTCCTTTTTAGTAAGGAGACATTTGAGGTAAGTCCTAAAGGAAGGGAAGGAGCAAATCACGAGGGTACCCGTGGAGGACTGTTCCAGGCAGCAGAGACAGGAAGTGCAAATGCCAGGAGGTGGAAGCATGAGCACCATGTTTGAGGAACTGCAAGGTGCTGGTGTGAGTGGATCACGATGAACAAGCCGGGAGGAAGGGGAGCCTGTGAAAGATGAGGTCAGAAAGAAGACAGGCGTCCAATAGGGCACAGCTCATAGGTCCTGGCAAGACTTCACTCCTCGTCTGACTCAGGTGGTGCAAGTGAGGGAGGGAGGACATGACCACTTTCTTCAAAGATTACTCTGGAAATAAAGGGCAGAGCTCACTGCCCATGGGGGTGCAGGCAGGAGAGCAGGCAGCTGTGATCAGGTGGGAGAGCGCCTGGCTGAGGACCTTCAGGGCTGTGGGAGAATCTGAGAGGGCCACCTAAGCCGGACATGGTCAGGGGTCGCTTCACGGAGATGGTGCCCCTCAGCTAAGACCTGACGGTTGAGTAGGAGTTCACCAGCTGAAAAGGGAAGAAGGAAGATGTCCCTACAGGAGAAGTGCAGAATGACAAGCGTATCCTGTAACAGAGGCTGGGAGAGGGCCGGCAACCAGCTCATGGAGAGCTGTATGGGCAGGAGTTTGAATATGAGCCTGTAAGTAACTGGGAGCTGTGGATTGTATTCAGCAGCAGTGCGATATGGGCAGATTTGCTGGGAGGATCACTGTGGCTGCTGTTGGAAGAGAGAGAAGGAAAACCTATAACACTTCCATAAATTCAAGGTCAGAAATATGGCCATAAATAGATAAATATAAAAATACATAACTTTTTTATTACTTATTTGAGACAGACTCTCACTCTGCTCCCAGGCTGAAGTACAGTGCTGTGATCTTGGCTCACTGCAACCTCCACCTCCTGAGTTCAAGCAATTCTCCTGCCTCAGACTCCTGAGTAGCTGGGACTACAGGTGCATGCCACCATGCTTGGCTGATTTTTGTATTTTTTAGTAGAGATGGGGTTTCACCATGTTGCCCAGGCTGGTCTCGAACACCTGACCTGTGATCCGCCTACCTCGGCCTTCCAAAGTGCTGGGATTACAGGCGTGAGACACCATGCCTGGCTAACTTTTGTGCTTTTTAGTAAAGATGGGGTTTTGCCACCAGTTAGTCTCAAACTCCTGAGCTCAGATGATACTCCCGCCTTGACCGCTGAGAGTACGGGGATTACAGACATGAGCCATCGTGCCCCTCAGGGTAACTAATTATTTTTAAAGTTCATGTACCACCCAGAGCTGTCTCACATATTCCCAGTGGTGTACCTGCCAACCACTGTGGAACACAAATGTGGCGAAACCTTGAAAGGCTGGGAAGAAATGAGTAGAGTTTGGAAAACACAGATGTAGTTGGAAAAGTTATATGTGGGTGCTGACTAAGCTAATTGACTCTCACTCCTCAGGTTTATGATTTTAGGCCAGTTGTTTACCTTTTTAATCCTAGTTTCCTACTTTATAAGTCAAGAACCAATTATCCACCACTAAAAAGGTGGCTGCAGTAATCCTGTATAATTTTTTTTTTCCAGACTATGTCACCGAGGCTAGGGTGCAGTGGCCACTGGTACAATCTTGGCTCACTGCAACCTTGACCTCCCGGGCCCAAGAGATCCTCCCACCTAAGCCTCCAGAGTAACTGGAACTACAGGCACATGAAGCCATGCCTGGCTAATTTTTTTATTTTTATTTTTTTGTAGAGACAGGGTTTTGCTATGTTGCCACAGCTGTTCTCGAACTCCTGGGCTCAAGCAATCTGCCTGCCCCAGCCTCCTAAAGTGTTGGGATTACAGATGTGAACCACCATGCTTGGCCCTTTTTTTTTTTAAAAAAAAAAAAAAAAAAAAAAAAGATTACAAGAGAGAATTTATAGGACAATGGGGAACATTTTAAAATGGGACACATTCGATTTGTTATGGAATGGTCGCTAATGTTCTTAGGGATGTTAATGACATTGTGGTTATGTAGAAGAATGCTTTATTCTTAGGACATTACTGCTAAAGTATTTAATGGTGAAGTGTCCTGAGAGCTCAAAATTATTTTCAAATGGTTCAGCACACACAGCCATATATACACTTGTGTGCATACATACACACAAAGAGAAAGAAATGGCAGCAAGATGTTAATGAGTTCAGAGGATACAGGTATTCATTTTACCATTCCTTCAACTTTTCTGTAGGTAAAATGTTTTGAAATGAAGAGTTGAGAATTTTATTTTTAAAAAGGTTCCTTCTAAATAAGATGATGAAATGGAAGAAAAAATAAAACCCTATGTGAAGTGCTAGTCCAGTACCTGGCATGTAATGGGTGTTTAGAACATAATTATTCCCTTCCCTTCTCTTCCTCTGGTGAATGGCTTCCAATTCATTATGTCAGGCAGTAGAATCCAATAAGTGACTCTAAAAACACAGCTGAGTTAGAGGCATAGCGTAGACCTGACCCTGCGGCACCTTTGCTGGGGCCCCTGGATCTCCTGTGTGACTTACATGACTCAGGACAGTGGATCTCTGATCAGCACCTTCTAAGGTGATGAGTCATTGGACCTGGAGATAATTTCTAGAAAAAGAGAGTGATTGTGTCCCCTTTCTCTCAGACTCTTTGCTTTTCCTCGATATTCTTGCACTGTTGCCTTTTCTCAGAAAATCCCACACTTTTAAGAGGCATGGAATTGAGTCTTTAACAGCCAGCTAAACATAGACTCCAGCATTGCTGTGATTGTGTAAAGTGATGATTATTTTAAATGACAGGTATCTGCCTCGTGTTATATGAGAAGAGATTTGGGCTTCTCCAGAAGAATGCAGGGGATGAAGCTATGAACTTCATCATGGCCATCAAAACAGTAAGCCGTCTCTTTAAGAGAGCCGTTTTCTTGATTGATGTTTTACAGATCGATTTTTACAGAACTTCACAGTGTTTCCCAAAAACTGGCATACACACGTGTTTTATTTCCGTAGTTAAGTGTTCATTTTAATGTGCCTTATATATTTTAGTATATTGATGTGCATATATACAGCTGTCTTCAATGTTTTTGGCACCAGGGACCAGTTTCGTGGAAGACAAATTTTTCCATAGACAGGGCAGGGTGGTGGGGTGGGGGAGGGAGCATAATTTAAGTGCATTACGTTTTACTGTGTACTTTATTTCTATTATTATTACATACTCACCATAATGTGGAATCAGTGGGAGCCCTGAGCTTGTTTTCCTGCAATGAGAAGGTCCCATCTGGGAGTGACGGGAGACAGTGACAGAAGGTCCCATCTGGGAGTGATGGGAGACAGTGACAGACCATCAGTCACTAGATTCTCCTAAGGAGTGTGGAACCCAGATCCCCCGCATAGGCAATTCACAGTAGGCTTCGCACTCCCGTAAAAATCTAACACAGCCATTGATCTGACAAGAGGCAGAGCCCAGGTGGTAATGTTGCTGGCCTGCTGATCACCTCCTGCTGTGCGGCCCAGTTCCTAACAGGCCACTGACCAGTATTGGTTCATGGCCTGGGGGTTGGGGACCCCTGCATATATGCCCGTAACATAAAGAAGCACATTAAATCCATTATTTCTTTGATTAGGCAAGGTTAAAATAGCTATTTTAATTAAAGATCAGTTGATTTAAAATACTTTTTAAAAGGAACCCAAAATTTTTCAGATTGTACCGTTTTGAATAGTTTGGGTGGTGTGTAGATAGGATAAACACTGAAATTGGTTTGGAAATCACTGAAGCTTGGAAATTATTAGAAATTGAAGTGAATATGAAAGTTATAGTTTTTCCTCTTTTTTTGTTTACAATTCAGTCATCAGATTGCAATTTTTTATCAAACACATCCAGTGGAAAGTCATCCCCCACATTACCTTCAATATTGAAAGGAGGTGGAGGTGGGGTGTGGTCATTGCTCCCAGGACCAGTGCAGAGAGAGCCGGGGGCGTCCTTGTAATTCCAGCCTTTTAAAAAGTGCAGGGTTCTGTGGTTTAGAATGTTCTTCTTCCAGAACGAACGTTGTCTTTGAGAGAAGGAGAATTCAGAATAAAAAGGTGCTTGCATTTCTCTCAGATGATGAGCACGTTTGGGAGAATGATGGTCACTCCAGTCGAGCTGCACAAGAGCCTCAACACCAAGGTCTGGCAGGACCACACTCTGGCCTGGGACACCATTTTCAAATCAGGTAAAGGGCCGCCCTTCACATCCAGCCAGACCCAGCCCGGCATCCCTGTGTCTGGAGCTTCAGAGAGAAGGTCTGGAGTGATCTCCAGGGCCTCATCACCACGTTTAGGTTTTGCAAACACAGGTGTTTTGGGATTGCCCCGGCATACACAAATTCTAAGTAACAAGCTTTCTGTAGTCTTCTTTGGGAATTAAGAGTGGTTAAAAGTGAAATCTGGCGGGGCACAGTGGCTCCCCCGCATAATCCCAGCGCTTTGGGTGGCCCAGGCGAGCAGATCACTTGAGGCCAGGAGTTTGAGAGCAGCCCGGCCAACATGGTGAAACCCAGTCTCTACTACCAATACAAAAATTAGCTGGGAGTGGTGGCGGGCACCTGTAATCCCAGCTACTCAGGAGGCTGAGGCAGGAAAATTGCTTGAACCTGGGAGGCGGAGGTTGCAGGGAGCCTAGACTGCGCCACTGCACTCCAGCTTGGGAGACAGAGTGAGACTCCATCTCAAAAAAAGAAAAAGTAAAATTTATGGAGTCAGGGAACCCTGAGTTCAAGTTGAGCCCTGTCACTGGTTGTGGTGGCTTGGCCAAATGTGCAATCACCTTTTCATCTTCAGTTGCCTTGTCTCTAAAATGGACTAATAATAACAATAAATAATCATAATAATAAGAGTACCTACCTCAATGTAACTGTTTCTGGGTCTAATACAGATTATAGTTAACATAAAAACCTGGCATATCACAGAATCTCAGTGGACTAGAGCTGTTTCTGCTACATGACAAAGGGGAATATTTGATGCTAGGCATTGTTCACTTATACATTTATTTAACCCTTACAACACACCTATAAGGTAGGTCCTTTTGTTAGCCCTGAGAGGGGTACCTGAGACACATAAAAGTTAGCAAACGTGGCCAGGCGCCGTGACTCATGTCTGTAATCCCAGCACTTTGGGAGGCCGAGGCGGGCGGATCACAAAGTCAGGAGATTGAGACCATCCTGGCTAACACAGTGAAACCCCGTCTCTACTAAAAATACAAAAAGTATGCTGAGAGTAGTGGTGGGCACCTGTAGTCCCAACTACTCTGGAAGCTGAGGCAGGAGAATGGCATGAACCTGGGAGGCGGAGCTTGCCGTGAGCCGAGATCGCGCCACTGCACTCCAGCCGGGGCAACAGAGTGAAACTCCATCTCACTCACGTTAGCAAACGTTCCCAAGATTGCATGCCAGGTGATGGCAAAGCCAAGGTTTGAAGCCAGACAGAGGGCTTCCTGGACTCGAACTCTAACTGCTGTGCCATATGTGATCACCATTATTATTACCATCTTCATTATTATAATAAGCCTGGTGGTTGTTTGCTTAATAGTGAGGAAGGTGCACGCCTACATTTTATGTTGTAAATATTAGAAATTTTTACCATTATTGTCAACATGGATGGACTGTGTACTTGTGTGTATGTGGGGTATGTGTGCTTAGTAATATCTGGGTCCAAGTTGGATTCTGAAAGTGAGCCCAAATCCTACCTTCTTTTACGCTTATTTCTCCCAAGATCTAAACTCTTACTACTCAAAACTATGACCTGCAGTCCAGTGGCATCAGCATCACCTAGAAGCTTATTAGAAATGCAGAGTTCCAGGCCTACCCAAGCCCTGATTCAGATTCTGCATTTTGAGAAGATGCCTAGGTGATTCCTATCCACATTGAAGTTTGAGAAGCCTCACTCATGTGGGTATTGAAAAATCCTTGCAGACTTAACAAGAAGGCAATAATTAGTGTGTGTAACAAATTGTCAGTGTTCCTGAAAAGACTATTTAGATATTGCAAGAAGGATTTTGGACTGAGATTTTCTTTTGTGATTTTCCTCATCCTCATTTTCAACTGACTTCCTCTCTTTCTTCTCTGCTCTAATAGTCAAATCTTGTGTTGACAACCGGTTGGAGAAGTACTCTCAGCAGCCTAGTGCAGATTTCCTTTGTGACATTTATCACCAGAATCGGCTTTCAAAGAAAGAATTGTATGCTGCTGTCACCGAGCTCCAGCTGGCTGCAGTGGAAACGGTAAGGGTGGGCTGGATTTGAGTTTGCTAAATGAACAGTCTGTACAATTTTTAGATGACAGATTTTAAATAGTAATTCATCTCATTCATTTCACCGGGATTCACTGAGCACCAACTTCACAAAAATGAAAAGTCTCATACTAGATGCCACTGTGCATCCGTGCATGGCCTTTTGTGCTTAAACACTGGGTAGGAGGAGACTTTGTGTGCCCCAGTGACAAAAACCCAGAGTAGGATGTGACGAGTGCCGTGATGTCCATGCACGCTGCTGCGGGAGTTCAGGAGCAGTAAAGTTCCCTGCCCTGGCAAGATACAGAATCCAGATTTTTCCAAATTGGATGTATTTTGTTCGGTTGTACATGTTACCCCAAAGTGCCTAACTGTGGCTGTTACTTACTGTAAAAAAAAAAAAAAAAAAAAATGGCATACTCTCTTTCAAGCCAATATTTTTATCGCTTAGAATTGTAAACAAAGTCCCAAAGAGTCTGGGACAAGTGGATTTTAACTGAAACGAAACAGCTCATTGTAAAGACCAAAATTCTGTCTCTGATGTGGCCGATACTCCCTAGGGGATAGTAGATACTAAGTGCAGACCAACCCTGCCATAGGCATTCAGGTAGGTTGAATTGACCTGGATACTGGTTTGAGCTGTGATGGGAGTGACGCACACTAACCTTCTCCTAAGTGCAACATTTACTTCATGCATCTTAAAGTTCCTAAGCAAAATGTAAAGCAGTTGTTTATTTTCCATGTGTTTCCCCTTCTGTGCTGTTTCTTGCCTGAAGTAAAGGTAGGTTTTCTATATCAGGAGATAGCGAGGTTCTCATTTCTCCTCATGCTCCAGAAGGCTGTTGAAAGTGGGAATCCATCCTCGCTCACTTTCCTATTGAACTACTTACCCTGGGAGGCTCCTTACAGCAGTGAAAGTAAAGTGTCACCCATTATTCTTTTATATTTTCAACTGGAATGTCACCTCTCTGAGAGCAATGGCTTAGGGTTGTCCACTGCCGTGATTCCAGGACATAGAACAGTACTTGGCATCTAGTAGTGGCTGATAGATACTTGTTGAATAAATGAATTCAGGAACTACTGAGCGCCTACTGTATGCCTGGGACTGTTCCAGGTTCTTGAGAGACCACCACGAACCAGAGACAAGGGTTCCCACTCTCATGGAACTTGTATGCAAGTGGGGAAGACGGACAGTAGCCATGTAAACAAACAGATGTGGTCACTTTAGATAGTGGTATGGATTGCAGAGGACGTCATCAGGATGGTGTAATATAGAGGGGTGGAGATGATTAAAGGGGAGCCCTGTCTGAGAAAGCAGTACTGGAACTGACTCTGGAATGATGAGAAGAGCCAGCCACAGAAAGACCTGGTGGGAGAGCACTGCAGGTAGAGGAAACGGCCCATGCAAAGGCCCTGGGGCAGAAAGAGGGATGGAGCTGGAGAACTAGCAAATGTGGTCAGAGCTGAGACTGGAGAATTGGATGAGCCTTGTTAGTCAGAGCCTTGTGAGCCCAGCCTGGGTAAGGCATTAGATTTGATTGCACCTGTGATGGGAAGCTCTTGCAGCATTTTAAACAAGGGAATCACCTGATCATTTATGTTTTGGGCTCTGGCAGGTGGATGGAGAATGATGAACTTAGCCAAGAGAGTGGGTGCAGCAGGCCAGTCAGTGAGCTCGGTCTGTTCCACGGAGGTCAGTCCAGGACAGTTTGTGCCCCTGAGGTTTTCCAGGCCACTTCCCCTCAAATCAGCTGCTGCAGCTTAGCCCCTGCAGTTTTCCCTACAGGCTCAGACTGTCTTACATGGCTTTGGTAAAAGCTACAGTTATCTGCCTTTTGGAAACTCTATTTGGTACTTGCGGTGAGGGACTCACTGATATGGTTAAATCCATTTCTTTTTTGGTCCTGGCTATTCTGAAAGTCACATTTGGAAAATCAGAGCCATTTGAAAGTGTATCTAATTTGATGGCTACACCCTCTTCCTGTTTTGTAAATTAGACTCTTACAATCATGGCGTCTATAGTTTATTTGCAGCCGAGGCTGCCAGTCCTCTGACATGAAGAAGCCTGCCTTGGAGGCATCTTCTTCCAAAAATAATAAATAACCATCGTCTCTGAATGGTCATGCACTTTGCTCATTTGTGTGAGTGGCACATGGCACTTAGCAACAGCGCCTTCGTGTCTGCAGAGGTGGACACAATGATCATTTTCAGGGAATCTTTGGCTTAAGTTAGCGAAGTACGGCCTAAAAATAACTACATATGAATACTAGTGGTGAATATTATGTAGCTTAAAGCTACACTGGCTGTTTCCACCAATATTTTTTCTCCAGTCATTGCCTATGCAGAGAAAATAAAAGATGCCACTTAAAAGGGCATAGGCCTTTGTCAGAAACTGTAGCTGGAGTACTCAACTCAATGCTTGAATTTCTTATTTTGGTGTTGGCACCCTCGTATGAGGGCTCTTTACATGTGGTTGAAACCCCGAGTGTAGATAGTGCCTGTTTATTTTTGTGGTAACTTTTTAGGGTGTGGCCAAAGGAACTTTTAAATTTCAGAAATGCCGTTTCTTGTCCATTTCCACTATAACATTTTCTTAAAGCCTCTCATTAGCAACACGCTGAGGATCACCATCCCTCTCTGTTTATTCCATTTTTATATCAATGTTTTTTGTATCAAGCAACTTTTAATTAAATGTTTATTTTGAGATCATTGTAGATTCACATTCAGTTCTAAGAAAAAATAGAGAGGGATCCCTTGCATCCGTCGTTTCCCCTAATAGTAACATCCTGTCTAACAAGAAAACGTTGTCACAATCCCAAAATTGGCATTGATTTAACCCACTAATATTCTCATTTCACCAGTTTTACATGTACTCATTTGCGTTCGAACAATTATTGTGTCAAACCATATTTTAGGTCAGGCGCAGTGGCTAACACCTGTAATCCCAGCACTTTGGGAGGCCAAGGCGGGTGGATCACCTGAGGCCAGGAGTCCAAGACCAGCCTGGCCAACATGGTGAAACCCCGTCTCTACTAAAAATACAAAAATTAGCCAGGCGTGGTGGTGGACGCCTGTACTCCCAGCTACTCAGGAGGCTGAGGCAGGAGAATCGCTTGAACCCGGGAGGCGGAGGTTGCAGTGTGCTGACCTGGTGCCACTGCACTCCAGCCTGGGCAAGAGTGAGACTCCATCGCAAAAACAAAACAAAACAAAACAAAACAAAACTGTATTTAAATGTTCTAAAGCAGCTGATTAAAGGATTATACTTTGGTTTCCTCAGTAATTAATTTAAAATATATCCTTAATTGATATGTTTTATGAAATAAATCTTTTTTATATATTGGATTTGTCTAAAGGCATAGCTATAAGGATGCATGAAGAAGCTTCACTAATATATTTGCAGAATAAGGTGGTAGGCATCACCTTTTTTCAGCTAATAGTGGTTTAATGCAGTTATTTACAAAAACTCAAGTTTACGTCCATTTGGCTTGCAGACAGCAAACAGTCTCATGTGGATTCTCTACAATTTATCCCGTAATCCAAAAGTGCAACAAAAGCTGTTTAAGGAAATTAAAAGTGTATTACCTGAGAATCAGGTGCCGCGGGCAGAAGATTTGAGGAATATGCCATATTTAAAAGCCTGTCTGAAAGAATCTATGAGGTAAGAGCCTATCTCTGAGCCAATATAAATGTGTTAGAACACTGTTCTCTTAATTACAAAGCAAGGGGTCCCCTACTCATGGACAGCTTCCCCTAGCTAATTAGAAACAATTATCACACTGCAAAAAAATCTTTGGAGCCATATTTCTTTTCTGGCACTCATTTCCCAAATCATTTGGGCAAATTCTATTAAATCTTGGAAAGTCAGTGCCCTCCCCTTTAATTCGATAATCTTGCTACTCTAATGAACGCTGTAAGCACTAATTAAGATAGGGGCATGATTGAAGGCTATGAGATGGAAGCTCACAAAAGAGCTATATTGTTATGTAATAGGACGTACAGACAGCTTTGGTTTTGAGCCTCCGGTATAAAACATTTTTGGAAATTCTTTTCACATCCTTTTGGGAAAACAAAACTCACAACATTTTAGGATTAGAAGGATACTGTCAACTTTGTCAAGAGTACATAGGAGAAACATAGAACAAACATCGCGCTTCAAGAGCTAGCCTAGAAACATACAAATTGAAGTCTGGAGTGAAGTACAGAGAAAACCAATGTTAACAGTTTACTAAACACCCTTGCACTGGGGTTTTAACTGACTCAAGAAGATGAGAGGAACAAGAGATACAATTATTGAGAAGAAAAAGACAACTTCTTTAGGAAGATCTGCGATTATGCTGCCTTTCTGAGTATGCACTTGGGCTGCACTTATTTAATCCAATCTGCATTCCCACTGACACTTCAGAGAGAACTTAGACGGTGCTCGTGCTCACCTTGACATCTTTGATTTTATGTTTTCAGGCTTACGCCGAGTGTACCATTTACAACTCGGACTCTTGATAAGGCAACAGTTCTGGGTGAATATGCTTTACCCAAAGGAGTAAGTTGAATTTGTATATTCTACACCTTACAAAACCTTGGAAGATACACTTTGCAAATATTCGTCAGATCTCCCTAGACTTTGCACTGGAAAATATTCATTTTGGAAATACAGAGATGGTAGTGAATGTTGCATAGTATAGAATTAGAATTAATGGCTATGGAGACAGAGACCTGGATTCAGTCTCACCTTTATCTGTGTTGTCTTGAGTTACATAGTCTCTGTGAGCCTCAACTTCATCCGTAAAAGGGGTTTAATAACAGAATCTGCCGCGCGGGGTTGTTGTGAGTGTGGTGTACAATTTTAAAGCCCTTTACCTATTTATTACCTGGCACATTTTAAGCGCTCCATGCATATTGGCAATCATCATTATTATACATTTGTGGATTTGGCTTTTGATTTGTAAGGTGACAACTTTTGTAAATGTTGTCATTCAAAGGTATCTTCTGGTTATTTTAAATACTATGTGTTTCTGTGTGTTTTTAGACAGTGCTGATGCTAAATACCCAGGTGCTGGGATCCGATGAAGACAATTTTGAAGATTCAAGTCAGTTTAGACCTGAACGTTGGCTTCAGGAGAAGGAAAAAATTAATCCCTTTGCGCATCTTCCATTTGGCATTGGAAAAAGAATGTGCATTGGTCGCCGATTAGCCGAGCTTCAACTGCATTTGGCTCTTTGTTGGGTAAAACCTTTACCGGTTTCTGCAATTATGTTCTGTGCTATTTCACAAGGCAGAAGAAGAGAGGGGTAATTCTGTTTTTGTGTGCATGCGCATTGCAGATTGTCCGCAAATATGACATCCAGGCCACAGACAACGAGCCTGTTGAGATGCTACACTCAGGCACCCTGGTGCCCAGCCGGGAGCTCCCCATCGTGTTTTTCCAGCGATAAGATGGCTCAGGTGAGCATCTAGGCGATTCCTTATCCTCTGCAAGGTAGGGAGAATGATGAGGGATGAGCTATGCTGGGAAGTCAGCCCGGCTGGGGTTTGAATCCCAGCTCACCTCTAATTTGCTGGGTGACCTTGAGCAGTTCCCTAAACTCTCTGCTTCCTTTTTTTTTTTTTTAATTTGTAAAATGATGACCCAAAGAGTGTGTATAACAAAAATTTAATGTGAATACCAAATACTTATTCCTGAGCCTGGCATCAATTCAGTGTTCAGCAAATGCTAGCAGCTGTTCATGGTTTTTGCATGTGAATAGTAAGGCTTGGCAAACTTTTTCTGTGAAGGGCCAGTTGGCAAATACTTTAGGTTTTGTGGACCAAACAGTCTTTGTCACATCCTCTTAATACTACCTTGGAGCATGAAAGCAGCCACAGACAATTTGTAAACTAATGAGTGGGCTGATGTTCTAGCTTTCTATTGCTCCCACCGCAAATTACTAAAATTTAGTGAGTTAAACGACACAGACCTATTATCTTACAGTTCTATAGATCAGAAGTCTGATGAGGCTCTTCCAGGCTAAAAGTATCGTGTCGTCGGGGCTCTTTCTGGAGGTTCTAGAGGAGGATCTATTCTCTTGCTAGTTTGGGTTGTTGGCAGAATTTAATTCTTCATGGTTACAGGACTGACGTCTTTATTTTTTTTGCTGCTGTCAGCTGAAGGCTATACTCAACTTTGAGAAATTTCCCATATTCCTTGGTTCATGAAACCTTCCCCATCTGAAGCCAGTAGCAATGGTCGGTTGAGTCCCTCTCATGCTTTGAATCTCTCTTTCTTCTTATATGGCTTCTGTCTGACAAGATATTATCCAGGATCATGTCTCCCACCTCAAAGTTCATAAATTTAATTTCATCTGGAAAGCCCTTTTTTTCATATAAAGTAGGATATTCACATGTTCCAGGGATTAGAGCAGTCACATTTTAGGAGGACCGTTATTCTGCCTACAAAGGCTGTGTTCTGATAAATTTTACAAAACACGAGTGGTAGACTTTATTTAGCCCTAGGGTCTAGGTTTGTGTTATGAAATGACTTGTACGATAAGTGTATGTATTTATCAGCCTGTATTGAACACAATAGAATATTTTTTCTGCAGTATGCCATTCAATGCTTTTTCTTACAGTAGAGGAGTTCTCATGTTCCCTCCACAACTTTTGCCATATCCATATACCAACCAACTGCTATTTATTTCAATACTTACTGAGTTATTTCCTTTAAATTAACATAAGCCTAATACTATATGTTGGCCTTGTGCTGAGTAATAATTTCCTTAATGAAATTAAGAGTTATAAGTCTAGTTATGTTTTCCTAATAGGCATTAAAATGAATTCAAAACTATTGAAGTGATCAAAAGTTAGCCTAAGAAAGCTCTTTTTTTTTTTTTTTTTTTTTTTTGAGACAGAGTCTCACACTGTCCCCCAGGCTGGAGTGCAGTGGCGCAATCTTGGCTCACTGCAACCTCCGCCTCCTAGGTTCACACCATTCTTCTGCCTCAGCCTCCCGAGTAGCTGGGATTACAGGCGCCCACCACCATGCCCGGCTAACTTTTTGTATTTTTAGTAGAGATGGGGTTTCATTATGTTGGCCAGACTGGTCTCGAATCCTGACCTCGTGATCCACCCGCCTTGGCCTCCCAAAGTGCTGGGATTACAAGCGTGAGCCACCACCCCCGGTGGTGGAACTAAGACATTTGTAACATATGGCTTTAGAGAGTGACATGTCAGCATTTAAACCCAGATTCTATCATTTTGTTCTGTTAGCAGCACCTCCTGGGATTTGCCTGGAGAGAAAATACTGTTTGCCAGTGGCAAGTTCAGGAGCATTTGCTAATTGGTAGATTATTTAGAGAAACATGCAATTACAGATAAAATTTCTGAACAAGGCCCAAATGAATACATTATTATTCCTCTACCAAGTGTCTGATGCTGTTATGAAATTTGTCCAATTCTGAGCATCCCAAGCAACAGAACTGAATCAAGTAGGGTAAGGAAAATGTTCTAGCTTAGTGGTGAGACCCCAGTCTTCAGCCAAGACAGCGTGCATGTTTATCACAGTAAGCCGCACCTTTGGTAAAAGCCCACGGCAATTTAAGTTTTAGCATTTTTTTTTTTTGGCTAATAATTTGTCTTGTTTAAATACATTTTTTTTGATATATAATTACGGTGTACCTTTTTTTTTTTTCAGATTTTTTTTTTAACCAAGACCAAAACAGCCATTTCGACTTTTCTGCAAAAATGGTGCTTACGGCTTCTGCATTACCGGAACGCAAACTTCAAAAGCCCACATCATACAATAGCTTATAAAGAATATTTAGGCCCAGGTGTTGATATTTTTTCTTCTGCAAAATTGTTCCAGAAGCTATACTGTCTTTCTAGACCGTGGTATTTGTTAACGTCATATCCAACTCAGGGAAGCGGACTGAGTGCTGGGATTCAAGGCATTCTACAGGGTTCACTGCTGGTTTACACTTCACCTGCGTCAGCGCCGTCCTCAGGTGCTTAGAATGGCCTGGGAGCCTGTTCTCTCTCGCATCTTCCATGACATGAAAGGGAGGCTGGCACTTGTCAGTCAGGTAGAGGTTACGAACCGTTTCAGCCCCTGGCTGCCACATTCACTGTCTGAATCTTTAATTCCCAAGAATAAGTTTACATTTCACAATGAAAGACCTACAACAGCTAAATTTTCTGGGGCTGGGAGTAATACTGACAATCCATTTACTGTAGCTCTGCTTTAATGTACTACTTAGGGAAATGCCTGCTTAATAATGGAAGCCAAGCTAAATGATCGTTAAAGTGATCAGGCCTCCCATGAAATTGCGTTCTTCCTGAATTGAAATAGAAACATTATTGGGAAACTAGAGAACACCTCTATTTTTAAAAGGACTTTAATGAAGTCAGACATCTTATAAGACTAGTGATTCACTGGGGCATCATTTTGTTAGAGGACCTTAAAATTCTTTATTTTTTTAATGTGATTCCTTTATGACATTAGGGTAAGGATGAAGCAACAATTTTTAAATTGTGTATGTGCATATGAAGCAGAGACGTGCGTGTGTGTGTGTCTGTGTATGTGTGTGTGTTCTAATGGTAATTTGCCTCAGTCATTTTTTGTAATATTTGCAGTACTTGATTTAGGATCTGTGGTGGAGGGCAATGTTTCGAAGTTTAGTCACAGCTTTAAAATATTCAATGTGACTTTAATATTATAAAATGATTTCCCATGCCATAATTTTTCTATTAAATAGGACAATTATAAAGCATGCAAAAGTTAGAGATCTGCTATATAACATTTGTTTTGTGATTTGAACTCCTAGGAACAATATGATTTCATAAATGTAAAATGCATAGAAATGCATGTAATACTTGTAAGACTTAAAAATTGTGTTTACAGATGGTTTATTTGTGCATATTTTTACTACTGCTTTTCCTAAATGCATACTGTATATAATTCTGTATATTTGATAAATATTTCTTCCTACATTATATTTTTAGAATGTTTCAGAAATATACATTTATGTCTTTATATTGTAATAAATGTGTACATATCTAGGTATACACTTTCTCTCTGCTATGAAATTATTTTTAGAATTATAAATTCACATGTCTTGTCAGATTTCATCTGTATACCTTCAAATTCTCTGAAAGTAAAAATAAAAGTTTTTAAATATTTGAGAGACTTCCTCTCTTTATTGCCTTTGTTACAGCAAAATAAAAACAAATTCAAACTTTATTTTACTGGTAAAAAATTTTCTTATATGGCCTATAAGCCCTATATCACAAAATTTACCCTTAGATAAATCTAGACTTTAATAGCCGTTTTACTGAAAGTGTATTCTTGGAACTGCAAAATAACTTGCCATTTTTTTGCTGCTTAAATATTTCTCAGGTCCAGTTACTTCTATTTCTACCCCCTTTCCAATCACACAGTCAACCACACGCTGGTTATGTGATTGGAAGCGGGGTAGAATGGCCTGGGAGCCTGTTCTCTGTCGCATCTTCCATGACATGAAAGGGAGGCTCGCACTTGTTAGTCAGGTAGAGGTTACGAACCGTTTCAGCCCCTGCCTACCACATTCAGTGCTTGAATCTTTAATTCCCAAGAATAAGTTTACATTTCACCATGAAAGACCTACAACAGGCAAATCTTCCGTGGCTGGGAATAATACTGACAATCTCTTGCCTGGACCACTAATATCTCTAGCCTCTGCAGGAGCTCCCAGCTGATCTCAGTCCTCTCTTGCTTCCTTCCCGTCTGTTCTTTGCACACTTGCCTTATTGGTCTTTTCAAAACCCAAACCCAATCATGTCTCATCCTGCCTCTGGGGCTTCCCCAATTCCTCTTAGGTAAAGATCTGCAATCCGCACTTCCAGGCCCTGTCAACTGAGGTCCCACTGATCCCCCAGGCCTCAGCCCCCATCATCCACCCCCAGAGGCCTCTGGACCCAGGCCACAGTGGCTTCTGCCAGTTTCTGCTGTTCCTTAAATGCTGGCAAGAGGGTTCCTCTCGCCGCCACCTTCCGCACACGCTCTTTCTCTGCCTGTTCTTCTCCTACACACCATCTAGGTCCATCCAGCTTTCACTTCCTGAAGGAAATCTTCCTTGATGACTTAGATCCCACAGGGGCTGTCCCCGGCACCGAGATTCATTAGGGTTGTGATTCCCGAGGAGACCTGTGCGACGGTGGGGACAGCAGGATGGGGAAGGGAAAGAAGCCAAACAAGCGTGTGGTTTTGAATGAAGTTCCAGCCCCAGCCTGATCCCTGGGGAGCTCTGGAGTGTACACTGCAGCTCAGTTTGTTCTCCTTGTGCCCAGGGAGCGGGGCTTCCACGCTCCTTCAAATCAGGCTGCACCTTGGGGTATAAACTGCCAGATACTTCTAGACTTTACATACCCAGGCAAAATGGCTACAGTGGCCAGAAGGTAGTCTTTAAAGAAGGCTGCAGGCTCCATGAGGAGCAAACCATGAAAAACCTGGGCGAAGGGCACAAAGACTGGCAAAAGGGTGTGAGGAGCACAGGGTGGAGCAAGGACCATGTCTGCTACCCCTCACCTCCCTGAGCAGGTTGCCTAGAACTGACACTGACATGGACACTGACATGGCCAATGTGGCCATGATGATAATAATATTTACTGACTGCTCTTGCTGCCTCAGTCTCTCTTCTAAGCACTTGCTACATATGAATTCACAAATCCTTGTCACTGCCCTGTAAGTAAATGTGATCATTCTTCCCATTTCACACCTGGGGAAACTGAGGCACAGAGGTGCTCAGTAATCCCCTTAGAATCATAATTGGTACATAGGGAAGTCAAGATTCCAAGATAGATTGGTTCCCGGCCCTGTGGGATGCACGTCATGTACCGCTCCTACATAGCTCACCACAATAGCAAGTTTATATGCATTTCTGTGATTATTTGATTGACATTTCCTCCCCTTGTTCTTCCCCAGCCCATGTACTAGGATATAGACAGCATAAGAGCAGGGATATGTTTATTTCAGTTTGCCCCTGTATCCATGATGCTTGGCTTACAGATCTTAATAGGCACTCATTAAATATTTCCTTTTACCTGGTTGTCCTAGTTGTAATGTTTACAACCGCCATTTGTGGTAACCAATAAAGCTAGGCAAATTTCCCAGGACTCATGCATGCCAAGTTGTAAAACCTCCTCTCCAAGGTCTTCTAGATTACCATGTCATACAGTGCCTGTCCCTCGGTAAATGCTTAGTGACTCAGGGCCGTTGTGATCGTCATCAGTAACACAGCTGCTCAGTGCTCATAGCTTATTATGACACCTTTCCAGTCCCTATTCTGTCTCCCTCAAGGCTGGCTCCATATTTTAGCTTTGACAAAATTTCCAGGGATATTTGTGGGAAACCAGTATATAATGATACATATGGAATTCAGTCCAATTGGCTTTTGTGATGTTCAAATAATTTTTGAGAGAGAGAGGAAGGGAAAAATAAAAAGAGAGAAAGGAAAAAAAATGAAGGAGGAAATGGAGAGAGCAAAGGAATTCCTCAACGTTTGTAGCAGGGATTCTGCAGACCAAGTACTGCTGCCCTGGGGAGTAGGAATTATTTGTGGGGAAACTACTTACGCAGGGGATGGAGTGAGGTTGCATCATATGCACACTCAACCCAGGCACATCCAACCATCCATGCTTGGAGTGGAAAGATGACTATGGAAGGATGTAGCCCAGGTGATTCCAACATCCTCGCTCAATGAGAACAGCACGATGGGAAATGAGATCCACCTCTTGCCTTATTTCTCATGTACATCTCAAAATGTGAGCTCCTGATGCCCTTGGTGTGGTTCCAGTATCTGAGGACGTGCTTTTTTCACTTGACATGGCCCCTAGACATAAGCCAACTACTTCAGGTTGTTTTCACCCACTAGAGCAGAAAACTGTTCCAACACTGGAAGGAATCCTATGTGGATTAAAACTCATTTATGCCTAGTGTTCCATTAGTGGAACTCTAAGCTTGTGGGAGTTATTGATAGCCTACTGCTCAAGGTCATCGCCAAGGTCTGATTTTTCACAAAAAAATTTTGCAACTTCTGGCATAAATGGGTTAATAAGAGATGAAACTCTGTGTTTATGCTGTGCTTTACAGATAATTGAAGGGATGTAAAGTTTACTGTAACTCTAAGAAATTTTTACTCTGCTTGCTTAACTTTCAAACCTAAATCCCCAATGCATTTTCTTGCCAATGAAACACCTGTGAGTTCCACACCCTTAAACTTCATGCTGATATAGGAGGAAAATCCTAGGTTTTATTTTATTTTATTTTTTGAGATGGAATTTCACTCTTTCACCCAGGCTGAAGTGAAGCAGCGTGGTCTCAGCTCACTGCAAACTCCACCCCCCAGGTTCAAGCAATTCTCCTGCCTCAGCCTCCCAAGTAGTGGGATTATAAGCATCTGCCACCATGCCCAGATAATTTTAGTATTTTTAGTAGAGATGGGTTTTTGCCATGTTGGCCACGCTGGTCTCGAACTCTTGACCTCAGGTAATCCACCTGCCTCGGCCTCCCAAAGTGCTGGAATTACAGGCGTGAGCCACCGTGCCCGACCCAAAAAAACCTAGGTTTTAAAGTCGTTAACCTCACCAGGTTTTAATTCTAGAGGAGCCATTTCCCAGCTGTGTGACATGGAGAGTTTACTTAACCTCTCTGAGCCTTAGCTATTCAATGGACACTAACATACCCGATGCACAAGTGTTCTCATGGAGATTAGAAAATTTGAAATGTACCTAACTCAGTGCTGAGCACAGAGCAGGGATGGTGTCAGAACCCTTATTTCTCGATCAAAGAGGCAAAAGTCAAACAGCTCCCTTTACGGGGCAGAACCTGTCAAAAGAAATGTTCTGGGCCCAAATGGGAAAAATGGGAGACAATTACACCATCATGGAAATACAAACACAATCAGTTTTACCTATTTGTGGAGCAGACCCTAAGAGACTTATGGGAAATTATAGTTTTTTAAGTGAAAGCAAGTTTATTAGGAAAGTAAAGGAATAAAGAATAGTTACTCCACAGGGAGAACAATGGAGTGGCATGGGCTGCTTGATTAAGTATACTTACAGTTATTTCTTGATTATATGCTAAACAAGGGGTGGACTATTCATGAGTTTTCCAGGAAAGGGGTGGGTAATTCCCAGAACTGAGAGTTCCTCCCCCTTTTAGATCATATAGGGTAACTTCCTGATGTTGCCATGGCATTTGTAAACTGTCATGGCACTGGTGGGAGTGTCTTGTAGCATGCTAATACAGGAAATTAATTTTCTTTTCTGTTTAGAGTCTTCTTGGGACTGATGGAGAATTACCAGGATAATTAAAAAATACAGTTAACTCCATCAACCCAGTGGTCTCATCATAGGAGATTTTACACTAAATACTGGAAACTACAAATCCACAGATAAAATTTGATGCATTTGGTTTGGTTCAAATCTAGTTGCCAAATGTGATTTTTCTAATCCCATCAATTTTGTGTACTTTTATTTAATTTATTTTTTTGAGTTGGAGTCTTGCTCTGTCACCAGGCTGGAATGCAGTGGCACAATCTTAGCTCACTGCAACCTCCACCTCCCGGGTTCGAGCCATTCTCCTGCCTCAGCCTCCCAAGTAGCTGGGACTATAGGCACATGCCACCACACCCAGCTAATTTTTTGTATTTTTAGTAAAGATGAAGTTTCACCATGTTGGCCAGGATGGTCTCGATCTCTTGACCTTGTGATCTGCCCACCTCGGCCTCCCAAAGTGCTGAGATTACAGGCGTGCTGTCAGGAAGAATTTATTCTTTATAATTTATGCCTATTTATGTAGTGCGAGCTTGCAGATTTCTTACGTTTTTGAATGGGTTATAATTTTTACACTGTCATTATTTGTTTGGATGTTCAGATTGTCCCAGATTTGACTGATGGGAGCCTCTTTCAATAGGTTCCTTTGCATTGCTGTTGGTTTTTTTTTGTTTTTTTGTTTGTTTGTTTTTGACATGGTTGTTTTTTAGCACTTCCTTGCTTTCTGGAACACCCTAAGATATTCCAGGCTGATCTTGTACTTCACCTGTCCCACCCTGGAATCATCTATTTCTTCAAGAAGTTCTAGTTTATTTTAGTAGAAAAGAGCATTTAGAAATCAAGATTTTGGCTCCTGGTACTCGTTGCTA